GTACGGAACCAGGGAGGCGGGGGGGGGGGGGGGGTGCGTCTCCATGCCCAGCCCCCGGTCAACCCTCTGCTCCCTCCTCCTCCTGGGTCGGGCAGGGGCAGCAGGCAGGGGCTGCAGCCGGTTCGCTCGAGCTGCGCTAAGGTGCTCTCTGCACAAGCCCACCTGTTGGAACTGATGTGTTCTGGACCTTGGCTGCTCTCGGATGCATCCTCTGCAGCCACAGGTCGGGCCCGCAGAGCAGACTCCCATTTGGATTTGGGTAGGAGAGCTTTCACAGTCTGACTCTTCGGGCCATTTGGGGGTATGCAGCAGAAGTGGGCCCTCCTTCCTGCGGTTACCACTTCCTAGGTGCAGGCCGGTTCTGAGCCCTTCCTTTTTATGTGCATTTTCTCAGTCCTCGTGACAACCTCAGAGAAGAAGGGGATTTAATGCTCATGTTTCAGATGGAGAAGCTTAGAGTCAGGAGGAACAGTAACTTGCCCAGAGATACTCAGCTAGCAACGTGACCATGTCCGAATTTGAACCCAGGCCCGTATGGCCCCAAGTCTGGGCTCTTAGTTACCTCCCCAATGTGCCTGTACTGGACTGGCCTCTCCTGAAGTTGTTTCAGAGAAGCGTTCCTCTGGCCATGCTTGACCTGGAAGAGCCTTGCTTTTTTTTTTTTTTTTTCTTTGTCTTCTGTCTCCATTGCAAATGCCAGGACCTCGTTCTGTGGCATGTACTTTTTACTCTTTGGCCTAATCACGACTCCAGGCTGAAGCCACCTGTTGGAAGCTTGTGGTGTGCCCTCTGCAGACGCAGGTTTTATCTGTGACTCTCCTTGGTAGGATGGCTTGGCTGCAATGGGAGTCTGGGCCGCTCTCTGCCGTCACTTTGGTGCTTCGGGGCCTCACCAGGAAGCGCTGAGGGGAGAGGATGGAGAGGCAAGAACTGGAGCTTGGCCTCGATGACTGAGAGAGTGAGAGTGCGCCCTTCTCTGTGCAGAAACTATACAGCCAAGAGCTGTGGCCCAAGGCCAAAAAGCTGGAGCCTCCTCCTCCTCAGAGCAGTCCCCTGAGAGATTATGTTAGATGGGAACTTTGTCTCTGACAACTGACAGCTCCCAAGAGCTCAGAGCACGTCTTTAACGTGTTTGTAGAATAGCCGACTTACGTGCTCTTCCTGTCACCGAGCGTGACAAGGCCAGTCACTGCCGATTAGATAGTAATTCCCAGTCCTCCCCCGCCAACCTCATCCTCACACCACACATCAGCCCAGCACAGTTGTGTCACCTCTCATAGGGAGGCCATGTCCTAGCAGGAAGAGCCACGCTCACACACCCCGGTCTCTTCTGCGCAGACCCGAATGCTGTTTCAGTTCCTTCCGGAGGCTGGATGCCCGAGCGGCTACTGAAAAATTCAACCAGGACCTGGGTTTCCGCATGCTCAACTGCGGGAGGACGGACCTCATCAGCCAGGCGATCGAGGCCCTGGGTCCCGACGGGGTGAACACCATGGATGACCAGGTGCGTTCTGAGCGCTCCGCCAGCCAGGCTCAGGACCAGAGTCCACAGGGGTTCGTGACCACTGGAGCCAGTGGCACAGTCCCTTCCGTCCCAAACCTGAGACCCACCCACTCAGCTCTGTGCTCTAAGAGGTGGGCTGCTTCCTGAATCGTGCCCTGCCATCCAGGTACAATGTCAACTCAGAGGCTTCCCTAACACGCCTTGGAAATCCTTCGTAACAGGGATTCTGCTTCCCCTCACTGGAAGGCTGGAGGTTGCCCCATAGGGTGCAGGGCTGGGAAAGA